GTGGCTGGTAGGCATGAGGCCCTAGGTTCAATTCTCAATACTATTTCCCACCGTAAAAAATAGGACAAAATATTTCAACCTTAATGACTAGTTTGACCTAGTCAAACTTAAGATGACCTTAATGACTAGTTTGATGGTGCACATGTGTGATCCAAACACTCAGGAAGCTAAAGAAAGGTAAGTGTTAAGAACTGAAGGCCAGTTTGAGGCTATATAGCAAGTACCAGGCCAGCTAAGGCTACATGGTAAAACTTAGCATCCAAAACAAAAAAAATAAACAAATAAATTTATCACTAAGAGAAGACAGTGATGTCTACACTGCTGTTCGTCTATGCTTTCCTGTATTTATACTCGTTAGATATTTAAGATGCAATGTCAGTGTTTTCTATGCTTAAATATAGTTTTTAGGGTTTACATTAAAATAGCATTATTCTTTTTTCTAAACTGAGAAATTTTGTAAAGAATAGTAAACCAGGAATGAAACACCAAGTAAGAGAACTATAGGAAAATATAGGTACCAAAATATAGTTTTGAAAAGTGCTAAAGAGAAAACAGAAATGGACAGATTAAAAAAGAAAGAAGAAAAAAATAGAATATTAGCTACAAATGTTTGTCTGAAGGAGGAAGCATGTTTTTTAATCCATAAAGAATGTGTGTATGTTTAAATTGACTGTTTTCAAAATTACTTTTTAAATTATTCTAAGCACAAATACTGTTAGAATTTATTTTATCAGTCAGTATTATTTAGACACTAGGAAGGAGGTTCAAAGCAAACATTGAGATGCCTGGTTACACCTATGGTAATGTTTAAATCTGACTTTTGATGTATCAGCCACAGCGATAAGTCAGAGGCAAAATGCAAGGGAAAATGGTCACAGACACAAAAATAAGCCCACAAGAATAAGCCCAACCAGGGACAGGATGCCAATGGAACTAATACGTTTCCTGAGGCAATCAAATGGGCCTTGGAAAAACTCTTCAGAAAATCTCTGGGAAAATAAAGATTTTAAAAGGCCAATGCTTGGTATTGCTATAGAAAAGCAGAGTATTGAAACAACTTCCGTGGATGGGCTTCTAGGACCTCAGGGCTTTAACCCTCCATAAAAGGGGAGCCTTTCACCTGTGAGGAAGTCTATCTTGAAAGAGTGCAGCTACCCGATATTTCCTATGGAAGCCTGCCTCAAGCATCGGTGGGTACCACCACTGAGATGCTTTGTGTGATTTTTCATAGCTGCTAAAAACATCTATGGGGAAATTGTTTTCTGCTGTAACAGAAAACCCAGGACATCTCATTTCTAAATGAATGTACATAGTAATCACTCTTGAAGGGAACACCCTAAAACCTAAAGTTTTACTGAACCCTTAATCTACAGATATTTAAAGGAGTTACAATTGTTCGGCCTGGGATTCATTTATACAAAGGAAAGCTTTTGCCTTCTCCACAGCAAAATGATAAAGGCGTGATATTTGCAGAACTAACTCATAATTGAAGGAAAACTCGTAGGCCAACTTTTTGATTGAACTAAAAGTGGCTGTTGGAAACAAGGGAAATTATTAGGTTCGGAAAGAGTCACGGGATTAAAGTCACGTGAAAAGAGGTACGCTAAAACTATTAGAGAACTGAAGGGAAGGGTAACCCCATAGGAGGGTCATCAGTGGAAGCTAGCAGAGACTGACAGGCTGGTCTAAGGCCCCCTACACATATGTAGCAGAGGGCAGCCTTGTCTGGCCTCAGTGAGACAGGATGTGCCTAATTCTGTAGAGACTTTATGTCCCAAGAAGGGTGTATTCAAAGGTGGGGGGAATGTGCACCCTCTTCGAGACGAAAGGGAGGCAGGATGGGAAAAGAATTCTATAAGAGGAGACTGGAGGGGGTTAACATTTGGGATGTAAATAATAAAATACTTAATAAAAAAAGGAAAAAAGAATTGCAAAAGAGAAAACAGTGATCTTGGAAAACAACTTAAATTCTCAATAATAATAATAAATAATGTTAACCATACTTTAAAAAAACAGAAAAGAAAAAAGACTGTTCTGACCACACGTCATGGCCTGTCCACTATGTAATAGCTCAGGAGCTGGGAATAAACCACTGATGTTGCTTAACCACCTATAAACATGATATTCCTGCGTGGGGAAAGTGGCTGACGTTGGTGGTTTGTTTTTTTAGTTTTGTTTATTTTTGTTTTTGTTTGTTTGTTTTCTCAAACACCTCTTAAAGGATGTAAATATTTCCGGATAGACGGAGGCCTATCCTACTGGAACTAAAATAATTCAAGGAGGTATCCTCTTTAACAAAATCTTTCCTTCTGAGTCTCCAGAGTCTAAGAAACATTCTGAGGGTAACTTGACTATATGAGGGAACCACTAAAAGACTTGAATTTTTTCTTCAAGCAGGAGAAAAGACACCCGAACTTCTTAAACACAAAGCAAAGCCCCATTTCCAAATCTTTCAGCATCTGGTAACCTGACTTTAAGTTCTAAGTTGCTTCAGTATTTTTTTTTTTTAGAAATTGTTCTTATAATCAGATTATCATCATAGCCTCTGTCTTTATTCCTCACTATCCAACCACAGAATTCTTTCTGAAACTGCTTTTTTTTTCTGTCCTACTATATTCTTAGTACATAGCCATGTTTAGGTTTTAAGCTTTTAATTTCTTTTTAATTGATTCCGTGAAAGTAATTCCCTATTAGACAAGGCATAGCAATATTTGAGAGACACTAATGAGGAAGCCTGCTGGGTATACAGATTTCAGCTGATTCTACACTTCCTGGTCCAGGGGGTATCTGCTTTATAAAAATCATGACTGGCAGTAGCGATTTACTTAGGATGAGTAAAAAAAGTCTATTGTCTTTGAAACAGCTTCAAATTTTAATGTTTATGGCCAATAAATGTTACTGATTGGCAAACTAGACACAGAGACATTTTTTTTTTATCAGATTCACTCACAAACAGGGGTTATGGCTAAGCCCCAATAAAATTAGTCTCCTAAATAGTATGTCAAGCTAAACCAGATAATCAGGAAGGACAACAGACTTAGGATGATGACATGTGGGTCCCCCTTGTGAAAGAACAGCTCTGTCAATTAGCTCCCCTTTGGTTGCAGCAAGTGGATCATTCACTTGATTAGTGTGGAAACTTCTTCCAACCCTTAGGATGGATCCCTACCACAAAAATTATTTCACCATAATAGTAAAGAAAATGTATTTTCTTTAATGACCATATATGGAGACCTAGAATCGTGCAGGTTGCTATATTCACTAAGTGGTTTTTGTGGAAGCAATCTCTGAGCAAGATTTATCCCAGGATGGATTGTTGAAAGTTGTACATTAGGATCGTTTTAGGTAAAAGGAATATTTGTTGGATGGAGACTACATATGATCCTGCAGGTCTTCTTGTCTTCAACATAGTTGGACAATATCGCCTATTTACTGATTTCGCTTTCATTTTTTTACTCCTCAACATGAATTTGCGGATGCTAAATGATAAATATGACTTCTAACTGCAGCGACAAAAATAAACAGACAAAAGTCCTCTAACTTTAGAGCCCAAGGGCTCTCTCACTCCTAACCTCAGGGGTCAAACTGATGAGCACAGCACTCCTTTAAAGCAGGTAGCCTCAATCTTCTCACCACAACACAACAGAAGCCCATCCATTATTGGGATAGAGCTCTGTCTGTATACACCTGGCACCTTGGACAACGTGTCCTTAGTATCCCAAGATAAACACACTCAAAGCAAACCTATTCAATGTATCTTTACATTTTAATAGTTTTCTAGCAACATGTTCTCAGTCAACTCGTAGGAGATAAAGATCTTTCTATTTTGAGTGCTATTTTTGGGATTAAATGTAATGATGGATTTAAGTTATGTTTTTTTTTAATTCTGTTGTCATGTCTTCCATAGATAGATAGATAGATAGATAGATAGATAGATAGATAGATAGATAGATAGACTTAAATGTCACACTCTATTAAGATCATTTCACTCTCAAATGTGTACTCTTTCCAGGAATCATCCTTTCTCCCTTAATGACCAAATTAAAAAAGTATATTAAAACTTGTTCTTAATAAACTCAAACTTTGCTTTAAAAAAAATATCCTAATTCAGAACACATGTCTCAACAACAACAACAAAATGAAGCCTGACCTCATGCCAACAAATAGGGAATGCAAAACTCAGTGTCTCCTATTTCCACAAAATCACAATCGAATAAAATCAGCAACAACGGATAATATTTTCAATTTTATTGGTTTAAAATATGTGATGGCTATAAATTTTTATACCCAAAGATGAAGACCCACTAAAATACAACAATTCTATTACGGTATGACAAAGCCATTTTTTAGCAGATTAAGAGTCAATCCTAAGATAAAGTCAACATAATTCAAAATGACATTATCACTTCATTTTTAGATTTCTCACTGTAGTTTAATTAGATATTAAACCTAATATTGTGTTCCAATGAATACTGAATACTTTTCTGAATGTTCGTTTCAGAAGGTCTAAGGGCCACATTGGTGTGAAGGGGCATTTTTACTAATACCTAAGAGTTAAAGATATCAAAGTAGATGACCAATCAGTTATGAATATTCTCTTAACAATTTGTAGAATTCCTATGCTATTTCAAAAACAGATCAACATGGTTATGCATCTTCAAAATGTATCTGCAAAAATCACCTAGCCAATCAGTTCTACATCCCAGATATAAATACAGCCAAAACATATCCTCAATGACACTAACTACTGCAGCAGCATCCAAATCACTTTAGAAAGAAGACAAATAAGGAAACAGACACTAGCCCTGGCTCCTTACATGCCAGCAAAAGATAAAAGGTTTCTACCTGATAACAACTAAGTAGATTATGATTCCAAAACCTGACTTGGTTGCAAATTATGAATATGAATGGTAATTATTTTCATTGTTGCTTTAAAAGTAGATTTCAAAAATCATGATTTTCAAATGAGAAATGACTCTAAATATCTAAGCCACAGAATATCATCCAGATACAGTCTTGTCAGGAGAACAGGCAACTCTGCCACTAACACCAACGCCAACAGGATCATTTTGGTCAGAAGGATCAACACCAGCAGCAGCATTACTTCTTAGACTACTTCCAGACCCAGAAGACAAACTATGGCTTCCTGGGGGAAAATCAAACATGATTAAGAACAATTATGAAGAATATTTGCTGGGACATTTTAGGAATGGAACGCAGGTCACCATATCTGAGCCACTCTTACTTTCAGTATCCAAGCTTCCAGTCCCGAAAGATCCACTGTTATTCTCTCCATCCCCCTCATGTCCATTAAGCCCAGGTACTTGTTTATCATCTAGATTCCCATGATCTCCTGAATCTGTAGCAACTACAGCTGAGGAACTTGGCCCACTTACTTCATTGGAGTCACCTGGCAAAGGCAAAATAACAATCACAAGGATGATGTTGGTTATCCATTCTTCTTTATATCTATCTGCACTGTGTGGGGGCCAGGATGATCACAGCTAGATTGTTAGAGATCCTAGAATAACTAGAGCTCTCATAACTGTGTCAGCCTTCTCCCTCAAAGTCTACACCACCATAACCAGGACCCAAAAGAGTTCATTTTAACCAGAAGGGGGCTTCAAATAACAACAAAACATTTAATTTTCATTTCTCTATCGACAAATCATCACTAAACCAAAGAGATTCAAAGGGCAAATCTGAATTTCATTTCAACTTTCCTTTGATTTTTTAACTCATCCATAACCACACAATGAGTGCACGTGTTTCCGCCATAGGAAATTTAGAACAAAACATAAATTATGAGCAGGTTATCCATGGAAAGGAATGCAGGGCATGATAAGTGAATCATGTGTATTTTCTTCATTGGAGATTGAAGAGACTGTAGACAGACCACTAATGTCTACATTAGGAGTACTAGAAGCAACTCTTGGTTGATTCTGGAGTACATGACCATTGCTTAACTCTGTGGGGAGTTCAGGAGATGGGAGGAAACTCAGCCTACTCTTTTCACTTGAGGTTCCTGAGAAAGGTAAAATCAGAAGCACAATGATGATTTGATCGTGCGTCAGTCTTCAGATCTGCTATGTGTCAAGACAAATTTGTTCATGGTGTGATGAGTGGAGACCATGTGGTATCAAGAATGCTTAAAATCAAATGGTTCAATTTATCAAGGTCCATACAAACAAAGACAATATAACCAATCTAACTGTCTCTAAGGGCAAAAACTGGAGAAATAAATTCTCTCCGACTTGTAGAAAATGAAAATCCAAGTTAAAGACAATGAGGTTTGAATCCTCTTTCAAATCTTAAGGAGGACACAGCATAGTGCAGTGGTTATACCCTAAGCCCTATTGCTGAAAGTCATGGGTCCAGTTCCAAAAGAAGTCAATCTACTAATCAGGCCAAGTCACAAAATTCTTTCATTAAATGCTGTGCTTGGAATTCCTTCTTCCACTCACAGTTCAGCTAGACTATTTCACAGTCGTTGGCAGACTGTATTTGGCAAAGGTGATCAAAAGACACCTCTTCATAAAATATCTGACAAGAAACATCCAGGTTTTAGCTAATCAGAAAAATCTTCTACCATGTTCACTACTATCAATGGTAGCAATGGGCTTTGACCCAGACTATTGACCGACCCCGACACTGTACTGCACTTTACCAATCCTCTACCAAGGCATCAGACTCTACAACTGGAAAAAATCCAAACCAAACCAAACCAAACACAACACAACACAACACAACACAACAGCTGCCAATAAAGCAAGAATTTGGAAGGTCAGCTTTCACTGCCACACAGTGAGTGACTCTTGACTACCTGAGACACTGGCACTAGGACTTGTCATTCCAAATTCGTCTTATAAACCTCTTATCAAGTTTTTCATTCCCTCTTCAAGAAGCTTGACTCCTGGAGAAGCTAAAATGTTATCATGAGAACACTAACCACCTGTCACAACACAATCTACTCCCTTTCAGGCCATGGTTCTTTGTTCTTACAAACACTGACTTGACAAAAAGTATAGCTCTCAAGCTTCATACTGCCTTGGTTCTTTGTCTTTCTTGAACCTATGCCCTGAGCATAATTTGTTAATGGTGTGATGAGTGGAGACCATGTGGTATCAAGAATGCTTAAAATCAAATGGTACAATTCATCAAGGTCTATACAAACAAAGACAATATAACCAATCTAACTGTTTCTAAGGGCAAAAACTGGAGAAATAAATTCTCTCCGACTTGTAGAAAATGAAAATCCAAGTTAAAGACAATGAGGTTTGAATCTCTTTCAAATCTTAAGGAGGACACAGCATAGTGCAGTGGTTATACCCTAAGCCCTATTGCTGAAAGTCATGGGTCCAGTTCCAAAAGAAGTCAATCTACTAATCAGGCCAAGTCACAAAATTCTTTCATCAAGTGCTGTGCTTGGAATTCCTTCTTCCACTCACAGTTCAGCTAGACTATTTCACAGTCGTTGGCAGACTGTATTTGGCAAAGGTGATCAAAAGACACCTCTTCATAAAATATCTGACAAGAAACATCCAGGTTTTAGCTAATCAGAAAAATCTTCTACCATGTTCACTACTATCAATGGTAGCAATGGGTTTGACCCAGCCCATTGCCCAACCACGACACTGCCCTGCACTTTACCAGTCCTCTACCAAGGCATCAGACTCTACAATTGGAAAAAATCCAAACCAAACCAAACCAAACACAACACAACACAACACAACACAACACAACAGCTGCCAATAAAGCAAGAATTTGGAAGGTCAGCTTTCACTGCCACACAGTGAGTGACTCTTGACTACCTGAGACACTGGCACTAGGACTTGTCATTCCAAATTCGTCTTATAAACCTCTTATCAAGTTTTTCATTCCCTCTTCAAGAGGCTTGACAGCTGGAGAAGCTAAAATGTTATCATGAGAACACTGGTCAAACATTTGCTATTCATTCAACAAATAGACAATCTGCTCCTAACCACCTGTCACAACACAATCTACTCCCTTTCAGGCCATGGTTCTTTGTTCTTACAAACACTGACTTGACAAAAAGTACAGCTCTCAGACTCCATACTGCCTTGGTTCTTTGTCTTTCTTGAACCTATGCCCTGAGCATAGATTCCCAAGAATATTTCACAACAGGATACTATCAGAGGATGAATTTCAACTACAAATTTCAAGAGTTAATCTAGCTCAACCCTTCTGATAACACTCGACAATTAAATAACCAGAGGTCTTTCACTTTCAGAGAAATGAATGTTTTAAAATATTGACTCAATTGAGAAATAAGGTGTTCACTTGCTTAGCCTCACTGCCTAGTGTCCTCCAGGGATCTCTCCTTTTTAAAATCCTATTAGAACTATTTTTTGTCACTCTCTTCAACTTGTGCTTGCACATTTACATATTTTAGGGTTTCTGTTTTATGACAGTAAAGTTTCATTTCCTATCAATGCACAGACTCTGGTCTGAGGAAGGGAGGATCAACATTCTGAGGTCTATACATGAATTAACAGAGCCATTTAATTTAACTTTACAAATTCATCATTACCAAATCAATGTGATCCAAAATCTAGATTTGAATGTAATGTCAACTTTTCTGACATTCTATAACACATATAGAACTAGTTAATGAGGCTAAGAATTTCTTCAACAAGGAATTAAAAATCAAAATGCATGCTGAAAGCAGGACATGCACAGACTTGAAGGCAGGTCAGATTGTGACACTCTTGTTTCCATCATTGGAGGATCCAGACTGTAGACTGATTGCTGATCACTTTAATCTAGCTATTCCCGACACATCCAGCTGTTTATTGACCCTGTAATGTCCCAGAGTGTCCAGAATGTGGAGACCCCAACTGAAAGATGCAGCCTACAGTTTTCTCTTGGAACAACTAACAAAGTTAAAATCAAAACCATAAGGATGACAGCTTGGGCATCCTCATGAGAACTGCATAATGTGGACAGTAGTATGTTCATAACTTGATTCCTAGAGATCATAAGCCATCAAGTGCCCTGGGAATCATGTGGTCCATTTTCATTATGGTCTGTACAATCAAGGAAACTATCCAGGCTACCCTTTTTAATTGATAAACTGTAAAGAAAACATAATTCCCTCCCTTTTATAGGAAATTAAAACATGAGATAAATAAAGGTGGAAGATGAAGAGGAATAGGAAGATAAGGAAGAGGAGAAAGAGGAAGAGAAGGAGGAAAAGGAGAATGAGAATGAAGAGCAGGAGAAAGAGGAGGAGGAGAAAGAGGAGAAGGAGAAAGAGGGAGGGGAGGAGAAAGAGGAGAAGCAGTAAATAGAGGAGGAGGAGAGGGTGGAGGAGGAGATAAAGGTAAAAAAGGAGAAAGAGGAGAGGAAGAATAAGAGGAGCAGGAGAAGAAAGATGATGATGAGGAGTAATTTTGAGCCTATTGATAATTTTCAGAAGTTAATAGAGAGGGGATGCCACAGTGTCACCACTGACATTCTTGTGTCCAATGCCAGAAGACTTCACAACTAGAGTGCCTTTCTCCTGTTCATAATGATAAGTTCTGTGAAGCCTCAAGATGAATGCCTTCATTCACTCAAAGTTCAGCCTGAATATCAGGAGGTTTTTGACTGACTGTATTATGAAAATATGATCAAAAATACATGATCATAAAGTATCTAACAGGAAACACAACCACAGTCTTCAGTGCCAAAAAAAAAATATTCTTTCACTTGCACTATAATCAATGTCAGCATACAGTTGGACCCAGATTCATGACATATCAGATGTCTTCTCTTGTTCTTAATAGCCTTCTAAAAAATGCACCTAGACTTTTCAATTAGATAATATTCATCTGCCAACAAACAAGAGTTTTGAATCTCAACACAATTCAGGTTTGACTACTACACACTGACACTTGACTACCTGTGCCACTGGTGTCACTTGAGAACGATTTTAACATTTCTTGCAAATCTTCAAGGAGTTTACGTGAATGGTCACTAAGCTGGTCAGCTGTAGGAGGGAAAGGAATTTCATTAGATTATAGGACAGAAGTTCAATATTCATACTTTGTATTGAGGAAAATTGAAGTCGTTAACAGACCACATGATAATACATAAACTATTCTCTCCCTTTTCCACCAATTCTCCATGTTCCCACAAAAACTGACTGGGAACAAAGAACAACATCTAAATAAGATTCAGCCTTCTATCTTTTTTATCACCCAAATTGAACATAATGGTCTTGTCTCAGAAAGTCAAAATGAGATAAAGTTAGCCATTTCACCATATCAGTATCAATTAGAGTCCAAAAGGTTCTAGGTGAAATTAAGCCTCTTGTCAACACCAGAACTGAGCAAAGATCCCAGGTCCTTTTATCACTGGCTATTGTCACAGCATGAACTTGACACAGAAATTGCAAGTTCAAATCAGCTCTGCCCTTTCTTCAGCAATGACCAAATGAAATACATGAAACTCACCCCATTCAGAGAAATGTAATGACCTAAACTATTGACTGAATTTACATCTCGCTGGTTCACACTGCTGAGGCAGATAGTCTGATCCTCTTCAGGCATCTCTCCTTTTCCAATATTATATTGTCCTGTTCCCTTATTTCTCTCTTCATCTTAGGGATGCACCCTGATGAGGCTCAGGACTGACAATCTAAGACAGTCAAATTTCAATAACATCACCACAAATATTTGGGTGTGTGGAGAGAAACATCAACACTCTAAGGACTGTAACTGAATTATGGAGAGCCATTCAATTTAACATTACTGATTAATTCTCACTAATCCAAAGTGATTCAAAGTTCAAATCTGAAATTCATTTCAACCTTGCTTCTATTTTAAACACATCAACAACCACACAATGAGAGCACACGATTACTCCATAGGAACTTGAAAACACAATAAATGTTATAGACAGGCTATCCATGCAAAGGAATGCAAGTCAAGATACCTCCTTCATTGGAGGTTGGAGAGACTGTAGATGAACTGTTACTATCTACATTCTGCAAATGTGTACCAGATGCATCTGCTTGTGGACCCTGGACTGTGGGCTTATCTCCTAACTCCGGGGAGAGTCCAAGTGAAGAATGCACATGCAGCCCACTGCTTCCACTTGTGGTTCCTGGGAAAAGTAAAATCATAAGCATAAGGATGATTTGAATGTTTGTCTGTCTTCAGATCTGCACTGTGTGGGGACAAGTTTGTTCATAATGTGAGTAACGGAGATCATGTAGTATCAAGAGTGCTTAGAATCAGATGGTCCAATTCATCAATGCCTATGCAAACAAAGATAGTATATCCACTCTGACCATCTCTAATGACATAACTGGAT